CTATATAATTTATAAACATTTTATAAATATTTGAGTTCTTTTAATTTCTAAAGTATAATTAATAATTAAGTTTGGTTTTGATGCTTAATCTTAGATTCGTGTATCATAGAAATTTAAACTGAATATATTTCATATATAATGACTTTACATAAAATAATATTTAACCTAAATAATGTTAGTAATTTATATACTGTTATGTAACCTAAAAATAATGTGCTTAATGTGGTAGTATTTAATTCAAGTTAATTTCATTAAGTTCATATTATTGTTTAATATGACTATATCAAACTGACTACATTAGATTGTACAAACAATCAATTTTACGGGTTAGATCAAGTAGAAATTTTATTTGCAATTTGTAATTGCATGTTACCATTTTTACAGTAATGCTTACTAAACATTATTGTAAAATGTTACAGATATTTCTAACTATTTGAGTGTAGGATATACATCTATTAATGGTCTTTTAAGCATTGTATTGAGTCATTTTGTTTGTTAATAACGTAACAGTGAAAGTTATAATGAAGTGTTAATAATTATCACTGTCAAGCATTTTAGGTAACCTAAAATATGTTTCATGTGGTAACATCTAAATTAACTGGTTTTATTAGTCAAAAATCAAAAATATAATTTAATATGACTGAATAAAAAAAAAGTTATTTTTGGTAACATCTATTAACTCTTTATACAGTGCACTGATAAGTTTTCATCCTCTTTTCCCCCCAAAGTCAAAGCAATGGTTCATTTATAAGATGTGGCTCACCCACCACAACATCTCAAGTCATGGCTAGAAAGAAGCGGAGAGGGGTAATTCCTTACTTTTTTATATTTGTTAAAAAAAATTTTTTTAAATGTATTCAAAACACTGATACATTACACTGCAAAATTATTTTATAAATTGCAGATCATTGAGAAAAGACGAAGGGACCGAATAAATAATAGTTTATCAGAGTTGCGTCGTTTGGTGCCAATAGCATTTGAGAAACAGGTGAGTTCACATTTCTGCTTCAGCCCTTGCATGCTTTCTATATGCATTATGAAAGTATTAGTTCTAATAATAATAATAATTATAATAAATTAAAACTAAGTGGAAGAGGATGTTGTCAAAGCTATCATATTAAAAACCCCTCACATATCCTATTGCTTCTCCCAAGGGATCTGCCAAGTTAGAGAAGGCGGAAATATTGCAGATGACTGTGGATCACTTGAAGATGCTCCAGGCCACAGGAGGAAAAGGTAGTCTGCTTGTTATTGGCTCCTGTTTTGCACGCAACCTAACACTGTAGTGAAATTTGAGTACGGAGTTCCCTTTTGACCAGATTAAAGTGGAAATCAATGTTAATGGTAGGATTGAACTCGTGGGAAAGTGCCGGCAGGACAAAAGAAGCACTTCACCCTGGGATTGTGTTTGCTTTCATAAATCCATGGGAGGGGAGTGGGGCCACATTCACAGGCTGCACTGTTGGGGGTTTGTTAGGGCTTTCCAATGAGTGTTAAAACCGAAGCACTGGGGAGACAAAACAAACATACAAACAGGTCAGGTCACAATCCCGGTCTGCTTAGGTTTAGCCTCTCAAACACAGTGGAGTTGCATTTGACTCGTCATGATTAAAGCTTCAAGTCAAATCAAGTCAGCTTCATTTATTTAGCGCTTGAATTGTTTCAAAGCAGCTTCACAGTAATAAGTAGGAAAATAACAGAATCAGTGATTCAAACTTGAGAAATTCAACTTCTGATGAAAAGCAGCTCTACAGAGACAATAGTGTCATTATTCAGCTTGTCAGTTCAGTGTTAATTAAATTCAGTTCAATAAAGTTCATCAATTATTAAACGAGTACAATTCAGCAATAAAGCATCTCTACACAAGACAATAGTGCCTTTATTCAGCTCGAGTCAGTTAAGTGTTTATTCAGTTTAATTCAATAACAGTGAAAAGTTGATCAAATATGAAATGAGTTCAATTCAGCTATAATCAGCTCTACAGAAGACAATAGTGTCATTATTCAGCTCAACTCAGTTCAGTGTTGATTTATTTCAGTTCAATAACAGTGTCATGGTTTCAAAATTCATAAATTATGAAACAAAGTCGATTCCCAGCAGTTTACCTTCACAGACATAACCGACTGTTATTGTAACTCATGTGTGTTTTTAATGTAAACTTGCGTGTGAATGAGAACTTAGTTTAGTACTCACATGCTGTGATAGCCGCTTTCTGTCCGTGTGCTTCGGTTGTGTGCGCTCAGAAAACCATATATCAGAAGTTTAAACTCATATGGTTTAAAACGCATGATTTCAGCACGATAAACATGCTAATCAGAACCAAAACAGATGTTTTTAACAGGTGCCAGCTGTAATGGCTCTATTCTGGAAAAGGGGGCGGGAAGCAGCAGCTCATTTGCATTGATATAATAAATGATCTGCGGAGTATTTTGAGCTGAAACTTCACAGACACATTCTGGGGACACCAGAGACATATATTACATATTGTAAAAAGGGGCATAATATGTCTCCTTTAAAGCAGCTCTAGTGTCATCATTCAGCTCAATTAAGTTCAAGTTTTGTTCTCATCGATTGGTGTCTGTGCAGTCAAATCGATAATACAGTATTACTGAATATCTTTTAAACCCAAACTACATCAGTGACAAGGAACCCAAACTCAATCAGGTGATAGAAATGGAGACAAAACTTTGGGAGAAACCAGGCTTAGTCGGTGGATCAGTTCTCCTCTTGCCAGAGAAGCATGGCATTCATGTTTTCATTGTTCTCTCTCTCGCTCTCTCAGGATATTTTGATGCTCATTCTCTGGCCATGGACTTCATGAGTATCGGCTTTCGGGAGTGTCTAACTGAAGTGGCGAGGTATTTGAGCTCCGTTGAAGGTCTGGACTCCAGCGATCCCCTCCGCATCCGCTTGGTTTCTCACCTCAGCAGCTGCGCCTCGCAGAGGGAAGCGGCTGCCATGACCACATCAATGACCCATCACCAGCAGGCCCTCCACCCTCATCACTGGGCCGCAGCTTTGCATCCCATCCCGGCAGCGTTCCTGCAACAAAGCGGACTTCCGTCCTCAGAGAGCTCCTCTAGCAGGCTGTCTGAGGTTCCTCAGAGGGGCGCAGCCCTTTTGACCTCCTCCTTCACCCACAGTGACTCCGCACTCAGAGCACCCTCTACAGGTAGCGTCGCTCCTTGCGTTCCGCCGCTGTCCACCTCACTGCTTTCAATATCGGCGACCGTTCATGCGGCGGCCGCTGCTGCCGCGGCACAAACCTTCCCTCTAACATTTCCCGGAGGATTCCCGCTCTTCAGCCCCAGCGTAACAGCATCTTCGGTGGCTTCTTCCTCCGCGAGCCCTTCCGTTTCCACATCCACCACATCCCAACAGAACAGCGGAAGCAGCAGTAAACCATACCGACCGTGGGGGACTGAAGTGGGAGCGTTTTAAGTGTTGGATTTGTTCTTGTTGCATCTGGACGTGTTACACACTTTGTACATAAAGGAAAGAAAACATCTATTGTGCCTGCTTTGGTCAGCACCTTGTTTTTTTTTTCTCTCTACGCTTGTGTACATATGCAACATGAAACATAAGCCAACTTTCTAGGAGGGAAAGAAAGACATACTTTACACCTCAAGCTGCGTGGAAACCCATAAGGATGAAGAGCGATTTTAATTTTTGAAGAAAAAATCAGTTACTGTTTTAACTTCATGTAAAGGGCTGTACTGTGTAACAGTGCCTGCATAAACACTGCTAAAATGCTGCATTTGAGATGTATGCTTTGATATTTCTCATTAGAATAAGCACATGTGATTTTCACAAACACACACAAACCAGTAGCTTTAGAGTAAAACAGAACCGCTTATTCAAAGACAAGCCAAAGGTTTTGCAGATAATCACTAAAGTGAGGTGTGAATCAGTTGTGTAATCTATGATTTAACAATCCAGTTTGTAAATATGTATATGTGTAAGATTGTAACTAGAGTTTATACTGAAATTAGACGAGGAGTTGGTATGATGCACTTCAACCACTGCTGTTTTATTGGGGGAGACAGGATCTTCTCCACTTTACACAATAGGCCTACTGAATTAAAAAAAAAAAATAATAATATTCACTAATACTCATATGTGAGATTTTCTACTACTGTAACTTTGTTACCTTTTTAATAACCCTACCACGCTCTGTAAGCTGTAACATTTTCTATGCAAAAAAGAAAAAAACATGTCCTCGAAGAAACTGGGTGTTTTTTTTGTTGTTGTTGTTGTTGTTTTTATGCTGCATTTGAGATGTATGCTTTGATATTTCTCATTAGAATAAGCACATGTGATTTTCACAAACACACACAAACCAGTAGCTTTAGAGTAAAACAGAACCGCTTATTCAAAGACAAGCCAAAGGTTTTGCAGATAATCACTAAAGTGAGGTGTGAATCAGTTGTGTAATCTATGATTTAACAATCCAGTTTGTAAATATGTATATGTGTAAGATTGTAACTAGAGTTTATACTGAAATTAGACGAGGAGTTGGTATGATGCACTTCAACCACTGCTGTTTTATTGGGGGAGACAGGATCTTCTCCACTTTACACAATAGGCCTACTGAATTAAAAAAAAAAAATAATAATATTCACTAATACTCATATGTGAGATTTTCTACTACTGTAACTTTGTTACCTTTTTAATAACCCTACCACGCTCTGTAAGCTGTAACATTTTCTATGCAAAAAAGAAAAAAACATGTCCTCGAAAAACTGGGTGTTTTTTTTGTTGTTGTTGTTGTTTTTTTTCATTCTGACACATATGCCACAAAACCATCATTCCATTTGCTTTCACCACAACAGATCCTGGAATGTTATGAGAGAAAGTAATTGTTTTCCCATAGCATAATGTGAGTTATTGAAATTCTATGGTGGAAAAAAATAGTTGTGTTCTTTTATGTGTTTTTCTTATAATGCAAAAGAAGCCAATGAAGTGAAACAAACAACTGCAATTATAAGTGCCACTTCAACAGTTATAAATCTGTCGACAAACTTTAAAGTAAGCGACAAACATTTATTGAATAAAACCACACACACACTAACATTCAACATACAAACATTACATAATCACCAGCCATTTTAAATGTTCATGTTTGTTTATAAAATCTCCCAATGCCAAATTAGATGCTGCAATGATTTCAATTATCAGTGTCGAACATTTTAGGTAACCTAAAATATGTTAAGTGGTAACATCTAACATTTAAATTAACTGGTTTTGTTAGTCAAAAATATAAAAATGAAATTGAAAGGAACTGAATCAAAAAAAGAAATTTTTTAAAGGTAACAACTACAAACACTGTCAACTTACATAATCGCCAGCAATTTTAAATATGTTCACTTTTGTTTTTGTCTCAATGCCAAATTTGTTTACATTGCAACCCTTTCTTAATAACATTTAAGCAGTTCTCATTTGATGTTTACTGTTATTTAAAGACAAGGTCCCTCAAGGTTCCCCTTGGTCCCTCAGGGACAGCTCAAGTCAAAACATATGTAGCTGCTCTGGCGGGCCTGAACAAACCGCCGGTCGGACTGCAGTATAGTGTGCGCCACATGAAAGCACAACGACACTAGTCACTCCTCACTAAAATGGGTCTTTATGCCGGCCTAATCCACTCCCTTTATGCCAGGGTCTGTTAGACAGATTTACATTAGTAAATCACTGTCACACCATTAAATTCCTTAAGAGAAAAAGTATCAGCATTTCCAAGTGAATGGGGATTAAGGCAAACAGCGCCTGCTACCCACCGGCAGTCATGGGAAAAGTGTGGGGCCATAAATCCGCCGGCTATCTGCTTTAGAGCGGCTGGTTCTCACGCCGGGCCCCTGCCTTTGAAGTGGCCGTCATATATCAAGGGCGCACATGATCTCCCCAAAACATCACATAGGAAAAGAGTCAGCGGTGTGAACATGGTCAGTAAGCCTGTCAGCTTCATTAGTTTCCACGCATCGAAATGGTTTAGCTACAACAAGATGTGTTTCATACTCCAGACCGAAAGATAAAAGCAGCATATAGATATGATCAGCTCACATAGATCATATTCTAGGCTCTAGGGCACAGGCACAGTCATTTTGACTTTTTAACCTTAACTGTTTGGTATTATCTGTAATATTTAATATACTGAAGAGGATGTATTGAGTAGGCCTACATGAATGTGAATTTTAAAATAAGATATTTGCTTATGTATTTTCTCCAGTTGCAAACCATAAAGATTATGATGATCATGAACTGTTCTACCAAACTTTTAAAATGTGATAACAGCAAATCCATATAGATATATTTTAAATTGTGATGTGTGAAGTCTGAAAAGACAACAAATGGGTCTTTATTAGAGAAATGCTGCCATCTGGTGCGAGATCATTTTTAGCTGCCGCTTGTTCTTCGTTCAGACACTCGTTTTCTGCAGACTACGTACAACTGACATTTTCAAAATATGTTTTGCTCTATTTCTATTTTATAAAATCACATAGAATAAAAAAGAAAATATAACATGATATATTATATCAAAACTACTTCGCCAATCTGCATGATGTACGCCATCCACATCTAACCAATCATAGCTTTGCGTTTTACACGCAGTCAAAACGCGGAAGTAAACAACTGGTATGTACACATGTTTGCGCTAAATGTAACAGTATCTGGCAAACGTATTGATTTCTTAATGTACCGTTGCATTGATTATTGAGCATTTATCAAGCTTTCGCCGTTGTCGACAATTGTTTGGTGGACTTTAGTGTTTATAGTGCAATGACCTAGGCGTTATTTCTGCGTTATTAGAGAGTATGAAGTCATTTAAATCTCCAGGCCGTCATGGATATGCGGTGGAGATTTCACCTTTTCTGGCATCCACGATCGCCTGTGCGTCATCTCCGTATTATGGAATAGCAGGTCATTTTTGGAATATTGCATGAACGTACATTAAAGAAATTGTCCACCTTTTCTGGCATCCACGATCGCCTGTGCGTCATCTCAGTATTATGGAATCAATTAATAATTTATGCATTTAGCAGACGCTTTTATCCAAAGCGACTTACAGTGTATTCAGGCTATTACTTTTTGACCAGTACGTGTGTATATATATATATATATAAAAATTTTATGAGGTCTGTTTTAAAACCAATATTTTCTTTCATTATGACATTGTTATTATAAAGTAATGAAAATCATCCTGCAAATACTACCATGTAAAATATATATTGCAATAAATAATTAGAATGTAGGAGAAATGTTCTTAATTGTCATGAAATTATACATTTTTAAAGCCACTGTAGATGCATGTCATCTTGCAGGTATGTGGAGTCAAGGAGAAGTGGTAGATCATTAAGTAGAGGTTGAGTATCTTTTTGTCTAATGAGCAGTTTTGACTGGAATGATGGGCTCTTCGATGTGACGTGGAGCGAGAACAATGAACATGTGCTGGTGACGGGAGGAGGTGATGGATCTTTGCAGATCCAGGACACGACCGACCCGCAAGGTCTTCTGCGGGTGCTGAAAGGGCACACACAAGAGGTGAGTTCACACTCTCAACTTTCAAAACAGCACAAATTAAAGCTTCCTGCTCTTAGCACTTCATAACTTCTGGACTGCAAAACGTCTTTAGACTATAGGAGAAAGTTTTTAAGGCCACCGTAGATGCAGGTATGCAGAGGAGATGTGACTGATCATTAAATAGAGGTTGAGTATCTTTTTGTCTCATACACAGTTTTGACTGGAATGATGGGCTCTTCGATGTGACATGGAGTGAGAACAATGAACATGTGCTGGTGACGGGAGGAGGTGATGGATCTTTGCAGATCTGGGACACGGCCCACACGCAAGGTCTTCTGCAGGTGCTGAAAGGGCACACACAAGAGGTGAGTTCACACTCTCAATAGTTCATGTTAAAGCTCCCTGCATTTAGCACTTCATAACTTCTGAACTGCAAAACTTCTGGCCTTGGTGTAGGTGTATTCAGTAGACTGGAGTCAGACACGGGGAGAACCTGGTGGTATCAGGGTCTTGGGACCACACGGCCAAAGTGGTAAGTGGAATTTGTTTTAGAAGGTGAATATATGCAGACATTTTTTTTTTTTTTAATGAGGCCTAGTTCAATCTATATGCAAATAATAAGAATAAAAGAAAACTTTTTCTTTCTCTGCACTGGTGATCAAGCATACTATTAATGTTGTTACTTGTTGACATAAAATGGGTTCCATGGTTGTCCTGTTTTGCACACAGTGGGATCCGGAGCGATGTCAGTTAGTGAGCTCCCTGCAGGGTCATGAGGGTGTCATCTACAGCACCATCTGGTCTCCTCATATCCCAGCATGCTTTGCCTCAGCCTCAGGTAGGAGAATGAGCTGTATCTGTCCTCCCATGAAGTTTGGAAGGATTGCTGCTTTACTTCAGAAAATTACTGTTGTGATGCAGATATTAGAGTAGATCACAGATATTATATAATCTATAGGTGATCAGACATGCATATGCAGAGCATGTGGTAGACCATAACAAGGACATGGGTGTCAGTTAGTGAGCTCCCTGCAGGGTCATGAGGGTGTCATCTACAGCACCATCTGGTCTCCTCATATCCCAGCATGCTTTGCCTCAGCCTCAGGTAGGAGAATGAGCTGTATCTGTCCTCCCATGAAGTTTGGAAGGATTGCTGCTTTACTTCAGAAAATTACTGTTGTGATGCAGATATTAGAGTAGATCACAGATATGATATAATCTATAGGTGATCAGACATGCATATGCAGAGCATGTGGTAGACCATAACAATCTTTGGAATCTTTGATTCCTTAGAAACGGATGAACTGATAAAATATTTGAATATTTGAGTTTGAATTGAAGTCGCTTTGGATAGTACCGGTTCAAATTATATTGAACAGGAAATTGTGAGGGGAAAATGGGATTGTGAGGTACTATTATAGTTTTTATTAATATTTTGAATTAGTTTTTTTATATTTTATATTTTCATTTTAGTAATTTTTTTGTATGTTTTTGTCATTTTAGTTTTTTTTTTATGTCTGTATAGTTTTTATACATTTTTATTTTAGTTTTTTTTTGTTATTTTAGTACATTAAGTTGAGTTTGAATTGAAGTCGCTTTGGATAGTACCGGTTCAAATTATATTGAACAGGAAATTGTGAGGGGAAAATGGGATTGTGAGGTACTATTATAGTTTTTATTAATATTTTGAATTAGTTTTTTTATATTTTATATTTTCAT